TCTAGCAAAGTCGTCACCCTTGTACGGTCTTCTTGGTTAACATATGTCAGATACGTGCACAATCAGAGAAGGCCAGAACTTCGGCAGATGATATGCAAAGTGCAGATTTAATCTAGGGAAGACTTCACGCTTGCACAGTCTTCTTGGTTAACATATGTCCAGAGGGTGTGTTTTCAACACATGGCTGCTTATCAGGATAACTCTTTACTCACTTAATGCATAAACCATACAAGGAACGAGGATTAGAGGATGAATGCACAGTCAGGGAATGACAGATGTGGACGCCCTCTCGGAATTAGTGTCACGAGATTATTGGGTGATTACAAGACTCTTGTGCAGCAGTGCATAAAGTTGGATGTGGTGGGATCAATCAAGTAAAGACTCTAATATTGCAGCAGCTTGTAGGTTAAGCTATGCCACAGGCAGTGTTTCTTGAACATATGTGAGCATAATCTCCAAGTAGATCCTAGGTTGGCCAAAGACAGTTACTGTATCAAATTGGCCAGGCAGTATCCAGTCACCCTTGGCCAATTTGCTACTGTCTTTGGCCACCTTATGATCTTCTTGGAGATTAAATATATGAATTCTTATCACGAATACATATTTAGCTCTTCACTTGAGGTGAAGTACGTAGCTAGAAAATGAGTTCTGATGACGGACTGCCTTTGCAAATGCTGGATGTGGTAGATTCAATCAAGTAAAGATTTTAATATTGCAGCGCCTTGTAGGTTAGGCTATGCCACAGGCAGTGTGAATTGGACATATGTGAACATTATGAATGCTTAGCACATATACAAATTTTCTTTACTTGAGGTGAAGCGCGCAGCTAGAAAATGAGTTGCCTTTGTAAATGCTGGATGTGGTAGATTCAATCAACTGAAGACTTACTGATTGTAACGCCTTGTTGGTTGAACATGTGGCCACTGGGAGGTTTCTGAAAACCTGGTTGTTTGATGTGAGTCATACATAAATCAAGTTATAAGTGCCCAGACAGGAATCGCTAGACGAGTAATCTTTTTATTTGTCACGCTCAATGAAGTGCATAATCATCTTAAAGGGTTGCATCTTAGTCTTGCTTAAAGATGCACCCGTAGGGTTTACATGGAACATTTGTTGCTTACTTAATACATAAATCATTGGGCAATGATTAATAAGGATGGCTTTTGAGCTACAAAATGTAGGTAAGGGCAGGCTCTTGTAGAATTAGCGGCAAAATCCCTTGTTAAGCAGAACAGTTATTTGATTAAGTGAAGACTTAACAGCTGCGCTGCCGTCTAGGTTGAACAATCTCCTTGGGGCGTTTGCCGAAGACATGACGCAGTGCATAAAGTAAGTACAATTAATTAAGGGATGAAGAATTTATGAGGCGATGCTTGCACGGTTTACAACAACTTGATGAAGAAGATCTTTATTGCAAGACAATTGCAGATGGTACAATGTATGGCAAAGTTGAATAAGACTTAATGTAGAATAGAACTTAATCAATCATTGATGCATGCATCGCACGAGTAGTAAAGCTTAAGGGATAACTGCACAGCTAGGATAATGAGCGTTGGAAGATTTTGAAGCAGCATTTAATCCTGGAATGACACTTGTAATCAGCCGTGTACATCTGTGCATATAATAAACAACCATTAGCCTATGGATCTTTATTCATGACCTAGTGTTGGATGTTGGACATATTTATAGTCTGAATAGATGGCTGTGGTTTGTAACTAGGTTAGAACTATTTTGGGATAAGAAATAGGTCGTATGATGTAATAGATTTATGACGTGTTTGTCACAGTTTGAAGTTTTAATAACACGTCTGGTGCGCGGGTGAGGTAGCGCCATTAACAATGGCAGTGGGCGTTCAGTACGACGCATTAAATACTCTGGTACAATCTCACGGGACGGTATTGGAAGCACAGAAAGGGTCACAACGTTGATTGCATTCACACAAAAAGTATCATAAATAAATCATAAATAAATGATAAAATCATGCCTTCTTGTTGACTAGGTTACTAGATCTTCCAAAAGTAACATTGTCCGATTCTTCGTCTTCTCCATTTCCCTTGTCGTCAGTTTCTCTCTCCCCACTACACCTAACAAGATTATAACGATTAAGTATGAATTGCTCTTTTCCTTCTGTGTAATCACGTAGAGCCATCTAATTCCTTCCATAATAGGGTAATTTTCCGTTGAAAATCATATCACTAAAACGGTAACAGTCTACCCGGCATGACGCATGTGTGTGACCTAGATTTTTGCAAAGAGTATAAAGCCCTGCATTATTTAGCCTGCAGCTGATGTATCATTCATTCGTCCTTTATAGGGGACGTTAGAATGTTGCTAGCTAGTTTCGGTTCCGGGGTATTGAAGCGTCAAATTTTAGACGTAAAGTAACGCTTGTTGATAAGAGTATGGGCGACCTTGTGTACTTGAATGAAAATGCCAAAAGTGGTTACATGTTACACTAAAGCGATAAAAACGACTAGAAAGGTAGCACTTGCAATGCAAATGCATAATGTTAATCTTCGCATAGGATTACGGTCTGCTGTTAATTCTTACTCAAACACATTCATGCATATGGAGACAGGAGTCTAAATCCCTCCTGCTATAAAATTGCAACATGATGTAACCCAACACTTGTTACCATGGTGACAGATGTCTGGTTCAGGTCATTGAAATACAAATCTAAATTTCTCTGCAACTTCCAGGTTTAGCCCTCCAATATGGCGTCCGATACTTACGTCATAATCACGTGAGTGCAAACATCCCATAATTCATCTGTATAGTGTATCATGTATCAAGTATCAAAAAGACCTGAAGTGCCCTCGAAAACCTGCAGACGAAGTCATATCAGCTGAAATCAATGTCTAACTCAAAAGACCAGCCTAGTCTCCATGTAACCCGAATGACATCCAATTTTCCGGTTCAGTGGAGGGGGAAATATGTACAATGGTCGGTGCGGACAGACGGACGGGATAGAATTCTATCACACCAGCTGCAGCTAGACTTTCATTAAGCTCGAGTCTTCAGAGTCAAGTCAAAGTCAAATGGAAAGTTACGCGGAGAACCAACTGTACATGCTGATAAGACATAAGGGCTGCTTCCAGGATTGAGTGGTTCATAACCTTACAGTCCTGAGGCTGCACCTGGGGCAATTAGTGTCACTTTGAGGTTATCAGAGGGCTAAAAGGCTGACATTACAGACCCTTGTGGTTTAACCTAGCTTATTGTAAGCTCTTTGGAATTCAGCCATGGCTGGGAAAAGACTGTAGTCGGCTCACAAGATAACAATAATAACAAAATCTATACTGGCCAAACTATATGCGAGTAAGGTTAGGTGAATACCAGTCAATGTATTGGGAGAATTAACAGACATGGATATCTGAAAAGCAATAAGGACTAAAGTGTATAGTTTGAAAGAATGGAGGGGCATCGTGAATGCCATTAGGTATTGCCAAAAATAGCAAAATCTAAAAGGCTACAATTAGTATGCTTTGACTATAGTTATTTTGAGTAAGGCACAACTACAAACATGAAGCAGCGTAGATTTCCGTACAAAGGGCCACGCAAATATATGTGACCCAAAAGTAATACAAAATATATCTTCCTCTGCCACTCTCAGTTTATTCATGGTCACAGTAAGTTCATAAAAGGCATGTGGTGAGAGCACCTTCCTGTCCCTGGTGGCCAATTTACTCCTACAGAGCCTGACCTTGCTGAACATTCTGACGCCAGTTTTACAATTCCATTGGAGGTAGCCTCCTGTACAGGCTCCGGGTGGGTGGGAGTTTTGATACTGCGTTTTGTAGAGTTTTTAACGCGTTCTTTAATTACTGGCCATCCTAGCCTCTACCAGGCTTCGGGAGGCTATTATAGCCTATACCAGGCTTCGGGAGGTCATCCTATAGCTAGCCTTTACCAGGCTTCGGAGAACAGTTTGCCGCACCAGACCAACTCCCCCGGCATGCTATCTCTCTATGTGGCCAATTTCTACTCTTTCCAGCCGCCTCCCAAAGCCTGGTAGAGGCTAGACCATCCTACAACCAGCCCCGTGGGCGGATGGAAACCTTCTCTCGAGGCTGGTTGTAGGATGGCCGGCAATTAAAGAACGCGTTAAAAACTCTACAAAACGCAGTATCGCCACCCGGATGGAGGCTAGGTGAACCCCATCTCGTACTAGCCACAAAAAGGCAGCAGAATCTTCAGCTAGTTGAAGGCGGATGCCTCAAATTGAAAGATAAAAAGAAAGAAAAAGAAAGAAACACTCCCACCCGCCCGGAGCCTGCACAGGAGGCTACAGAAGGCGTGTTGGATCCGTGCTTAGCATTCCACCTGTGACGTCACGCGACAGGATGATTTAAATGATGACAAAGACTCGTGAATCCGCACCACAGACCGCAGACCATCGGAGCGTCGCTCGTAACCACGTCACACGCCGCGTGCACGGCTGGAGCGCTGAGGAATCTCTGACAGGTTAACGACGGTTCTGGTACCGGCATCGGTGTTTGGTTGAAATTGCGCCATATATTTTAGCAGCAGCCTGCGGATTCTAGGTGTACGCTTTGCTGACCGCAGCTGAGGTGTACGTGCAGTTACTCGCTCAAGGCGAACTCACATAGTCGCCTACCTACAGCTCTTACCAAACACACAGCTTCACTGCCACAGTGTATTTTCTACGTGGACAACTTCTGCATTGCAGCCACGTTTGCTGAGGACCTCTAAGCCTGAAAACGCTATAATATCCATTTACATACCCTCTATCATCTTTGAACTGTCAGCAACCACAAGAAGCAGTTACGTGTGCTTCCTACGTCGAAGTCTTCAGCGCTGCACTCTCGATCACTGAGGACATCGAAGACTTCAGAATTTACAGCCAAGAACAGCCTCTATTTCTAAGGACATCTAAGACTGGTTACACCGTGTGTTTTCTAACTCGAAAAGCTTCAGCATTGCAGCAAGGAACACCCTTCCTCACCAAGGACTAAGGTCTACGACTGGGAGTATACAGCATGGACACCTTCCTCTTCAACAAGACGGCCTTCTCCAACGTCAGCGACGATGGCGGGCCCGTCGTTAACCCGGAGCTCCAGACGAAGCAGAGAAGCTTCATGCTGTTCTACGACATCATGACCTACGTGATCCTGTCTATCGGCGTGCCCGGGAACGTTCTGTCCGTGGCGGTGATGTGCAGCGCCCGCCTGAGGAAGGCGCCCTTCAGTCTGTACCTGGCCTCACTGGCAGCGGCGGATACCGTCTTTCTACTCACGTCTGTCGGGCTGCAGGTAAGGTTTAACTGATTACCAAGTCAGACCTCTTTTTTGTTTTCGTGGTTGTCCCAAGTCTTTGAGGATGTCGACGACACTGGGTAGTAGCTTTAGGGCTTCCTTCCGCCTGAGGAAGGCGCCCTTTGTCTGTACCTGGCCTCCCTGGCAGCGGCGGATACCGTCTTTCTACTCACCTCAGTAGGACTACAGGTATGTACAGGGTTTGCTTTTCTGTTTAAACTGTTACGCAGGAATACATTCATAGCATGCTTGGCTGAGGAAGGCGCCCTTCAGTCTGTACCTGGCCTCCCTGGCAGCGGCGGATACGGTCTTTCTACTCACGTCTGTCGGGCTGCAGGTACGTACAGGGTTTGTTGCTATGTTTATGCTGCTTTTCTGTTTAAACTGTTACGCAGGACTACATTCATAGCCCTTCAGTCTGTACCTGGCCTCCCTGGCAGCGGCGGATACCGTCTTCCTACTCACCTCAGTAGGACTGCAGGTAAGGCATCGTCGCTTACAGACATGTTTTGTTGTCTTTTTCTTGGTCGTATGTCGTTTGTCACTAGGCTAGATCTTACACACCCACGCGAAAACATTCCTTCTTCACTGCTCTGTAAACAGATTTGCCTTTTTTGTTTTAGTCGTCTGCCGTCTTTGAGAATAGCCACGTCTCACGACTCTGGATGCTAGCTTTTTAAGGCCACCATTTCACTTGACAGTATTATAAAATAACGTAAAGAACATAGTAGTGTTGCCATTTGCATAATTGCCTCTATTTTTAAAGTCGTCTATCTAATTCTGAACGTCACTCTTTCAACTTGAAGCTCTAAATAAGCTGCTAGCATTGCCGGCGGATCTGGCGAATACAGAGTGACACTGATGGACACCTCCAGACTGATGGAACATTACCTTCCTTCATCTTCCCTCGCCAACTGTCACCGGGAGGGTCTTGAGTCAAATTGACCGTAGAAAGCCCATTAGTGTTATCTACGATGTTTGGCAACTTTCCTTACAGCAAAACGCCGTGCTATGTTACCGTACTGCTACATTTTGACAGGTTCAATCATGTCTGTCCTTTCAGCACAGACCAGGCTCTGTACCTCATGACAACTTTCATGCATTTATAATGTCTTCAATAAGGAACTCAAAACCAGACTGCACTTAGAATTTGACACTGTTTGACAACTTTCATGCATTTATAATGTCTTTAATACTTTGAAGAAGAAGTGAAAACCAACAGTACTGCACTGAGAATTTGACAGTGTACCCCTCTTTCAATCTTCGTGTGTGTAGGCGTACTTGGCAAGTTGTCAATTTTTATGCATTTACAATGTGTTCAAAGAAGAAGCCAAAACCAAAAGTACTGCACTTAGAATTTAATACATAATGGCAACTTTGATGTATTTACAATGTGTTCAAAGAAGAATTGCAAACCAGCAATACTGCACTGAGAATTTGACAGTGTATAGTTACCTCTCTTTGAATCTTCGTGCGTGTAGGGCCGGTAGGTGGACTTGGCACGTTGGCAACTTTCAAGCATCTTCAACGTCTTCAAAGAGGACGTTAAAACCACTAGTATTGCTCTTAAAATTTGACACTAAATGGCAACTTTTAAGCGTTTACAATGTGTTCAAAGAAGAATACCAGCAGTACCTCACCAAGAATTTGACAGTGTATAGTTACCTCTCTTTTAATTATAATCTTCGTGTGTGTAGGCTAACTTGGCAAGTTGTCAACTTTCCTCCATCTACAATGTGTTCAAAAAAGAAAACCAGCAGTTCCTCACTGAGAAGTTGACAGTGTATAGTTACCTCTCTCAAGTTTAAATCTCCATGTGTGTAGGTGGACTTGGCACGTTGTCAAAATTACCATTATGTGGGCCCATGTGGCCCTGCCCATTCATTATCTACAAATTGCGGGGCTATGTTTCAAGATTGAATATAGGGCCAGACGTATGATCGTTATGTGTATTTCAGCATGACTTCTCATTTTAGCAATTTTCAAGGCGCCCAGACAGAGCTGTACTTCTGTATCCACTGCCGCGAAACTTTATGTCAATTCTGTAAAGCTTAGAATTGGCGCCATGACTTAGGTTAATGTCTCTGTGGCTTCAGATTTCTTCGGTAAAATCGTTTATAAAGTATTGCCAATTATAGTAACAGGCACCGAGCCAACGGGAAAAGATATGGACCTTACACACGGGTACCATATGTTGGAAGCACTATACGTTTATGTGTATTGTTTTAACTGTTAGGTTTTAACTGTTGAAAATCAATCATTGCCCAGTGTACGGTATATCTGCCTTCTAAAATTGATATAGACACAACATAGTGTCCTCACCACCGTGCAAAGGCTGGAACAATGTCTCTTTGTAACACCTCCTGTCTATAAATTATTGAAAGCATGAAATTGAAAGAAAATGACCCATGCACCATGACTGGTGATTTGGACGGCAACATTTCAGAACTGTCAGAACTGTCCGCATTGTTTAGTGTGTTTGGCACGGTATGTCTTAACTAAATATCAAACGTCAAGTTGTAAGCCCATCCATGCATCAGGAGTGATTTAAAGATTGCTATCATCAAATGGATATCTGTACAAAAAAAAAGCTTGAAAAAAGATAGGGAAAGAAAGTATGGGCGTGTCAAATCACCCACCAGACCTAGAGCAGAGGGGAAATTCGATAGGAAAAAAGGCAGAGGGAGAGAGTGAAAGATGACTGAATTAAAAGGGCCGGCAAGGAATTGAAATGGCTGGCAACTTTTTCTAGCAGCATGCGAGTCTGTTTGATTCAGGCTCACGGCCGTGGGATCTTGAATATTAGCCTGAAGCTTTAAGATTCAATTTCTTTCATCGCGTCTGCCTCTAATCAACTCAAAGGCACCAAGGCCAAAGGGATAAGGAAGTCGAAGCTGGATCGATTTTTGTGGAGTGAACTTGTGAACTCCCTCGGCAGAGCTAACTTTGCGAATCACTTTGCTACAAAACAAAAGCATCCATTACTTATAAGTCTACATAATATCTTTGAGCCTATAAAAGGTTTATAAAAACTTACGAGCTTGTATGAGTGCTCTAATGTGCTGCTAAACAGCATCAAAATGTTTATCTACACATAAAAAGATATTCTGCTTCTTCTTTGTCGGTTTTTATAGACGACAACTTGGCTGAATAATGGATCTTGCTTCATAATAACTGGACTAGTCTTGCAGTGTTGTGTTGGTTTGTAATTAAAGCCATAGAGTAATGTAGATACATGTAGCAGTGGCTGAAAAACTGCACCATTAAATAGCCTCAATAACATTGCGGTATGACCGTAGGTAGTAACGATAGCCATCAAAGAAAAATGACCCAAATTGCAACGTAAACTGCCTGATAGGGATAAAGCCAGCTTACGGGCCTCCTGACATAGTATCTTTCGTCTTGCCCCTGGTATATGGTAATAGCAGTGTACGAATTGGGATTCCTCAACGGACAGGAAGAATTAACCATTCCGGATACTAGCCCCAAGACCGTTTTATCGAATAAAGATGCCGCGAAGGCGGGTTTATATTCTACATTGACCTGTGATTTAGGCCGGCTGATAGCACAACTAGGCTAACGGCGTCAATTGGACATAACGTGGGCCCAAGGGATTCTACATCCGGTCCCACGCACTCTTCCATGTCTCAAAGTTTTTGCACACTTTAGAACTTGCGCCCACGCAAATCTTCGACTGTGTATCTCCAGGCTTCGTGAAGGGAGCCGTTCTCTACATCTCTGCTACGCCCTTGAGAAGATTGCTGTTCTACCCAAATAAAACCCAAATTTGAGGAGGCCCAATTCCTAAACGTTTTAGTTTTATTCCTTCGATCAACAAGGTCATGGTTCCCAATGTTGGACTAGTTCCAATTGATATAGAGCTAGAGGGAAACTGCCTGTTGTGCACTGTGCGCACTGTCGTTCGTATCTCATGATCCTGATGTCATCACACTATCCCAGGCAGTATTATCTGAATATGGATATTACTAATTAAAGTTACGTGCAATTCATCAAATAATATGTGCCCATCTGGGTATTTTTTGCCGTAATAATCACTCATCATCATCGATTCATCTTAAAATGATGATTGAAGGGATCGCTCCATCTGATGAGGACGGCAGTGGAAGATTAGGAATTGACCTGTATTTTCTGTATGCTTCGTCGCAAAAACAACATTTCGCCAACAGCAAAAAACGATCGGATTACTTTTTATTGCAGCTAACAGTTGGTTTATAGCTGCATTTTCCATATGTATGCCAGATCAATTCCAGCAGGATTATTGGTTATGTCATCAATCATTTCAGAAATTGATTTTTTCGAAGTCTGCAATCTATAGATAAAGGCATCGCAATAACCGGATTTCCACGCACTTGATTGGATCACTTATTTTCGTCTAGTCTCCACCAGACTCCTTTACAGGCTGGATGAATAGAAGAAATCGGCCTAAAAAAATTTAATGTCCAGGGGAGTTGGTCGGCCTTAGAGGGTCCAGTTTGCCTGTGTAGAAACTGGACCCTCTATCAGCTGGCCAACTCCCCTGGCCAGTTACATTCTATTTGGGCCGATTTCTACTATTCATTCAGCCTGCAAAGGAGTCTGGTGGAGACTAATTCTCCTCGCAGATAACATCTTTGAGATTGAACTGTCGAGGTACTGTTAGATTATCAAGGGTATTTGATTAACAAAGTATTTCTTACCATGAAAAGAGGGCATATGGTCCTGTCCCAGTTAAGATAGCGTATCACCATCAATTTCATTGTCCCATCCTACAGATGGCTGCCCCAAACAGCAACTTTTATCAGGAATCTATATTTATTCCGCAATAACACAGGTAGAAAGAAGGCCAGATCGGTTTCAAAGATCATAAAATAGTGATTTACATTTATATTTTTCTCGATAAGCAGTGTCATTTCTCTTAGTTCCCTGCGGGAGCGACCTTTAGGGCAAAGTTAAGCTTAAAGGAAAAAGTACCAAAATGGATACGTATCTTTTTGAATCCGAGAAACGCAACATGCAAGTAGCGTATTCCACGGGGGGACTGGTCTCTGCATACGTTCTATACCTAAACGGCAAAACCTCTTTTGATATTTGAATTTCTTTTTGAAATTAGATCTTGGGCTAACTTCTGTAGCCCTCCGCTACCTTTCTTCATGCATGAATGTTTGGAAGAAGTCCCGAGAAATGTCTTTGAAGTTGTGTTGAAAAGACCTATGACTTACCAACCTGATGAAGCTATTCACTGAGATTTGACGTTTGTATAATATAAATCTAAGGACCACCATCTCTTAATGTATGATTTATATTGCTTCACAAGCCAACTCCAAACTTAAGATCTATAAAGAGTGATGCTCATCTCCAAGACATCTCCCAACAGAGGCCTAGTTACACCCAACCATCCTGACCAGTATCTATTGGTATTCAACACTGAGAGATTGAAGGTCACCTCAGCAGGTTGCCTTTACCATGTTCCAGGGGAGATAGTTGCCGGGGGGATTGTACTCGCAACGCATGAATGCACACATGTGCAGTCGGACTGGTCTGATTTACCAAACAGTTGGGCCGCAGCGTTACTGGCATATATTTGCTTGTCAAGTGAAGGAATCAATATCAAAGATTCTTCATGTCATCTGATCTCTTGCAAACATATGGATACAATTCAGCAGGTTGCTGCTATGTGCCTTTGCTAATAAATCATCATGATGCCTGAAACAAGAAATAGTTTATCATTGCCATGGTTTTCATACATCGTTTGGGTCTGTAGACAGCAAATGGCAGGCGAAACGTGAACAGTGTCAGAAACAATTGGGGTTGTGGGGCCTAACGGCAGAGCATTCGGCTCAGAACCAAGAGGTGCTGGGTTCGAATCCTACCGAGTCACCAACCTTGTGCCACTTTGCACGACTTTCCTCACTTCTCCCAGGTGAAAATGAGTATGCCAAAATGATCATTATCATGACCATCGGCATCAAAGTTGAACCAAATCATCCAAATAATTTGGGCGTCTAACTACGTGACCACATATGTTGTACTACTGCTCATTGCTATTCTGATAGGCTAGTCAGTACACTTTCGAAAGGACACGTACCTGTGTAACAAGCAGAAGTTGTTATCAGCTTCGAAACGTTTAAAGCTGCCTTGATTACTGATTGTGCTATTTTGGTCGCCCCATTACGAAACTGTCACTCAGATAGATCTTGGATCAAAATATGCTGATTACATCACATCAAGGCATTCGGAAATAGGTATTCAGCAAGTCCCTTTTTAAGGTGGGATGTCGCCATGCCGTCTGCATCTTGTCTTAAATAACCAACCCCGTCCTGAAATAAAAAGCCCCAGGGCATACAGAGCAATCTTACATGTGGAGATGCCGCAAATTTGCTGATCTCTGAGTGACCACTGATCGTGGGCCTGCATGGCATTGAAAGTTTGTTATTCTCAAAGGGCGAAGAAGATCGTAGCGGAAGATACCGGTAAGACTTAAGTAGCCTGCATCTGCAAAGAAGATGGGTTTTCGTGGTACGAAGCACGTAGCACACACATGGATGTCCTTCCAAAAACTCAATGTTACGTACTCATTAAATAAGAGAGGGTAGTTTTACTTCAACATAAACCAAGTAATCCATGTACAGTTCTCTGATCATTTCATGTTTCCCCACTTTACATTCATTTGTCTTCTTTTCTGTAAGTCTATCTGGATTTCTAATTGCCATAAAACGTAGTTTGCAATTGCAAGTTGAGGTTTTCAGGTCATTCACACTACAAGATTGCGAGTTTATCGGGCAACCATCCCCTTCTAATTCTGGTACACTCCTCGAACCCTCTGATCTAATACCTGGCATGGAAGCTATAGGAATAGAATTGGATGGCTACCAGGATACTAAGGGCACAATATGCTTCATGTAATGCGTTGCTTTATCTGCAACGAACTTCTGCCGCAGCTGTTTACGGATGGGTGACCGAGTAACTTTGTAATCAATATACATGAAATGCTAACCCGATGCTTCATTAGGTGTTCATCGAATTTCCAGGTCTTACTCTATGTATGTATGGCATAATGCGCGCTCATTTGTACCGTGCTGAAGCTTATCTTGTGGCTTCCAGCGGGCTTCTGTCGCGTGGGGACATGAATAGACATGTCACGGTCTTCCCGATCAATGCAAGAAGGCACTTAGTGAATGTCAGTAATTCTGAGTGTGTTCAAAGAACGTCCAGGTGCTCTATTCCTCTCCGTAGCATGGAAGTTCATCTGAGTTTAAACCATTTTATTTCTCACTTTAATCCTCTTCATTCTAATGTCAAATGCTATAAAAATTATGTTGTATGAGACGCTATAAAAAGTTATGGGTGTGGGATTTTCTCAAACCAATACCAGTTTAATCACTTTTTATGAGGAGCTCTTTTATGATGTGAAATAAACTTGTGATACAAAGCAGCCTCCTAAAAACAATTCATTGAATTTTACTGCCTTGTATTTCTTTTGCTCTCTATCATGAATGTTATTCACAGGAAGCATTGTTCGATGTAGTTTTATCACTCCCAAATGCTCAAATCTTACTGTCTTACTGACCACTTCTGTGCAGCTGATATCCTGACACCAATAGAGAAAGGTCTGCTTGCCATAAGGGTGGTCTGACCACATGAAATTCATATTCAGAGGGCATTGTGCGATGTAGTTTTATCACTCTCAAATGCATAAATCTTACTGTCTTACTGACCACTTCTGTGCAGTTTATTCAAGAGCCTTGCCGTCCATGGCTGTTAGCCACTACCAGCCTTCAGAAACGGTTGAAAAGAGCAGGATTCCCCTGGTATATCATATTTCTATTTGGTTAATTTCTTCTCTTTCCGACCACTTCTGAAGCATGGTAGAGACTACACTATTGTGTAGTTGATATCCTGACACAAACTGCTTGTCGCTGTTCTTCGTCATGAATTTCATTTTCAGGGGGCGTTGACCTGTGAAGTTTGATCACTCTCGCACGAATCCTACAGTCTTTACTGTCTTACTTCTGTGCAGTTGATATTCTGACACCAATAGAGAACAGTCTCTCTTTACGACAAGGGTGGTCTGACCCTTGAAACAATTAGCCAGGAAGGTGAACCCGCGAGAGAATCCCCAAATCGAATTGCCAATCGTTAAATCCATGTCGGAAATTAAGCCTCACCTTTAAGCTTTAGAGGTGACCAATTTCGCGTCCGTTAGGTCAAACTTGAATATAGAGCACAGAGATCACAGAGCAGGCAACAGATTAGGTCGCGATGTTTTATTGGAAGGCAACAAGGGGAACACAAAAACTGCAAATCTACATTTTATTCCTTATCTTCTGATTATGTATTTTATATGTACCATGCACTCAACCTATAAAGCAAGATAAATTAGCATCTAAATCTAATGAATAGTAGTAGATGGTAAAGATAAGGTAAGGATAAAACGTAGAAAATAAACGTGACGTTACTGAAGCAAAATACTTGCGACAAAATAGCGTAAAAACTTCTTTATCTAAGAAACTCGTTAACGACCTGTCAAATGTTTGCTCGCTGTGCGGTTACAACCTCTAGAGAGAAGGGTGTAATCCAGCAATCATCTCCTAATGCGAGGATTATCGTTAATCACGTTAGTTACAGTCTGACTGCCCCTGATAATCCCTCACTCGGAATGTGGAACCGCACGCGACTATAGGATTAACCGACTTCCCGCTGAGGATCCTCCAGGAATAAACGTGATCTGGGCTGTTCTGGATGAGGGGGATAAGGTTTCCCCCGTGCGGGATGTTAATCTTTGGATAGAATTGTCGTAAATTATAATTTGCAGTTTAGTAAACATCGCATGCTCCTGAGAATAACTAACGAAACATGGGAACAAAGTGTGAAAGATCAGTTCAATGTTTCTTGATGGAGGTAATTCATTTTCTGTTTTGTAGCCGGACTACTTGCTCACTATTAATTAGCTTCAGAGAGAATCTTCAGGGAGGAAACTTGCCACATGATCTGGGCTGTTCTAGATGCCGGATGTGGGGTGTTAAGTAAAATCCATAGTTTGACAACACTACCGAAGATAAGGGGGCGCCTCGTCGGAAGAGATACCGTGTAGAAAATTAGTATTTGTTTCCTCAGCACCATAAGGCATTAGCGTTGACGTACGAAATTGACGTTTAGGCGACTTTGATAATGAGTCGTTAGCTCTTTGGCGCCAGGAATCATTACTTACCATTACTATCTCAACGTGTACAACTGTGATGCGTCTTAGCTTTATTCAGACGTGAATAAAGAAAAGGTGAGAGGAGAGATACGGAGGGTGAACAAACTTTACTCTTTGCTGTTTCTTAAATGTTCATAACAGAAGACGTATGAAACTGGATTTTAAACGGTTGGCTGGCGCCAGAAAACTTATTACGGCAGACCTAAGTACCTTTACTGAACGCTTATCTCCACATGTATAAGCTTGATAAGTACGAGTACGTAGCTGCTTTGTTTCAATGTGAAGGGGACGGGAGGAGAGATAGGGGACTAAAGTGCGTTTTTCTACATCAATGCTCGTTTAGTGACTGTAGACTATAACTTTCAACACAAAAGTTTTTGGGCTGTGATTTTCGCCTGTGCAGCTCTAGTTTTTGATGGATCTGTCAGCATTAGCAGCAGCACAAGTTCCCACAACTGTAACGTGCAGCGACTCCAGCCTTTGATACATCTTTCAACATTAAGTAGCCTCTTATGTGTTCTCTGATCCGCATTTATCACCATTTCTGGGAGATGACTACAGCAAACTGTCGGCAAAGCAGATAGCCAACCCTGCTAGTGACAAGGGGAAGTAGAGGACTCTTGTAGTCGCCTGCGTTGCAGCCGACCGATGATGATGATTTACTATTTACTTTAATTTGTTTCATCGTCATATTACGTAAAGCAGCTTTCAATAAGATGCCATTTGTTTGCAGATATTCCACGACCACGGTCTGATCCACGCCAGTGACGTGTACTGCAAGCTGATCAAGTTCCTGGTGCGTTCCTCCGGGTACCTGTCTGCCTGGATCACCACAGCCTTCACGGTGGAGCGCTACATCGCCGTCTGCCACCCCATGCGCAGGAGCACGCTATGCTCCATGAAGACCACCAAAAGGGTGAGTTAGCCTCCACCAGACCCATTTGCAGGCTGAATTATTTACTATTCCAACATGTAATCACCAGACGTGGTGACGACACACTCAAGTTTTTTCAACTTATATTAATGCCGCCACCAACATGGGACAAATAAATGACAGGACAATACTCATTTACACCTGAGCGAAATGAGGAAAGTCGTGTAAAGTGCCTTTCCCAAGGGCACAAGATCGGTGGCATGTCAGGACTCGAACCCGGGACTCTTAGTTCCGAGTCTCGCACTCTGCCGCTACGCCACACGAAATAAATAAATTCAAACTTGAAAACATGCGCCATCCCTTTCTATCCTCCATCAGAGACCGGATTTCCGCTACTTCAGTTAAGCTGGTGTCTGTTCTGAGGTTGTCGATGTAGTTAATCCTAGGTCTCCCTCGACTTCTTCGGGAGCGATGAACCAATTCCTCAGCGGACCAACTCCCCTGGCATGTTATCTGTCTACTTGTCCAATTCCTTCTCTTTTCAGGCACTTCTGAAGCCTGATAGATGCTAACTGTACTTTTAGCTTTAGCAAAACTGAAGAAATCAATAAAATGGCCCCAGAAATTTGTCTTGTCTAACTGGAACTCAAGAAGAAACTTCAATGTATCTTTTGTATGTTTGAAGGTGAAGTTGTCTTCACATAATAATTGTTTTAAAAACTGATGAAGGTAGCTGAGAAGTTTCCAAAGTTACGTTCAAAATGACTCACCAACCTGACGAAGCCCTCGGCTAATCTTTTATCAGTTTCTTGATGAATTTCCTAATAAACTGGAACTACCGTTAGTGCCTCTGGGGTTTCTGAACTGTGACATATAAACCTCTCATGGGATGTTTGTTTCTGAACGAAACATTAACTTTTTGATGCTCTGTCACTTCTCTCTTAATGCCCTTGTAATATAATACTTTACACAAAGTTTCAGAATCTTTCTTACCGTCTAAGCTTTCTTTGTAAGCTGACATTTCAAACAGTGTCACTTTGGCACTTTTGATACTTAAGCTTTATGTGTAGTTAGTATGCATGTGTTCAGAGCAGTGGCTTGATTGGTATCTTAATAAACCGAAACTGAACGCAATGTCCGCTGGGGGCGGTGCACCGTTACTGGCTTATGATTAGTGCAACTATGCATTAATTTGACAATGTCTGAGTAATTTTTCACACATAGTCATAGATTTGTATCTATCAAGATTTTTCAAAATTATGCCCGAAGGCTAATTGCTTTTACAGTCAAATATGCTATTCGGTACAATTAGGAGACAGGCAACTACTGTCTGGAAAACTTATACTTCTGCTACGCTAGCTATTATGGGGTTGACTTCTTCTTTGAAGGCAGTGGATAATGAATAGTCCCACGTTCTGAATAATGAGTGGGTTTTGTGATATTAGTAGAAACATAGTCTTTTGGTGATCTTCTAAATGATGAAAGGATGGAGAAATTGTGGTAACTGTCTGTGGTGACTGTCTAAATCTACCACCTTGTTTTCCTTCGGGAGACGACATTTAAAATGTGTAGCTGGCACGCATTCATTGAGGACTGTTCCCACATTGCTTGATTGATATCTTTACAAACTAGAACGGAAGACAGACACCAAGGGTAAACCTGTGCGGTTACAGATACATCCCTTCTTGTCTGGTCCATGAAACAGTGCACTAATTTGTGGTCGATGATGTCGATATTTTTAGTCTCAGGTCAAAGTCTGCCCCGAGGGATATTTAATTATGAAACCAATTCCGCAGCACGACCAATACAGTAAATCATACCGACCGGTTCGATGAAGCTGGTAATAGACGCTATTAATCCCAAAGTCAGTCTAGGATAGAATTAACAATGCGGCAGATACATCCATGGGCATATGTAGAATTTACAATTACATGTGGTTTTCAAAGATAGCACAAAAGTTGAATGGAAAGTGTCTTACTCACTTGTCACTCCACAATGATACTTTCTTAGCATTGTGTCTGTGTGTGTGTCTGTGTGTGTGTGTGTGTGTGTGTGTGTGTTTGTGTGTCTGTGTGTGTGTCTGTTTGTGTGTCTGCGTGTGTGTGTGTGTCTGTCTGTCTGTGTGTATGTGTGTGTGTCTGTGTGTGTGTGAAAAACTGTAGGCGTTTCCTATAGATCATTTGTTTGTTTTGTTAACATCTCCATTAATGTTACATAAATTGTACACTATTCTTCCAGTAGTCCGCAAGGGTAATTATGTAAATCACCATGTAGCTATACGAGACAGTATATAGATAGTACAATGGTCTAATCTCCAAGTAGATGTTATACATAGGTCTCTATCATACTTGTTTTACAGGTGCTACTGGGTCTGGCCATAGTGATCTGCAGTGTTAGCTGCCTGGAGTTCTGGGCACAGGTGGAGAGGGACAACATGTGTGAGTTCCGGGATCCAGAGACGTGGCTCAACATCACCATATACGACATGGCTGCCGGCCGGCTCATACCAACTGCAGCCGTAGGGGTGCTCAACACAATCATCGCCACTACGGTGCTTCGGGTGAGCATCTTGTTACATGACCTCCTTGACAGCTGACTACTGATACCGTTTCCCTTGCGCGATAATTAAAGAGTTGTAGACATCACGGTGATTGCGAAGAATACAAAATTTCTATCAGACAAGACCTAAATATTTCATGGAGATCTGAGGGTTAGACTTTTGTATTCCATTCATAAATAGAAAATTTAAACGTCAGTTGTGGATCAAAGGTGACTGGAATTCGAAGCCGATATCGTCACCCGTCCCCGCTTATCAAAGGCTGATGGGCTAGGCTACTTTACACCCTTGAAGATGCAGATGACCAGAATATGCAATTCAGACCGCCACCTAATTCTAGTGAATGTACATGTACTGCGCTTAAGTCCTTTTTTCTATTTTCAGAAAAAGGAAGATCGTCGCAGCCTTTCAGTCGCAGTTGTGGAGACCGAAAAGCGACAACAGCAGGTTGGAAAGTATATCTTTGACATCATGCAATGGCCGTATTTGAACGTATTTAGTACTTAGTACTTAGTGCGTCGTCTTCAATATATTACATGTCTTTTACATTGGAACGAAGTTTGAGTATATCTGCCATGTTAATCCATTCATGCATTCGACAAGATTTGTGTGACGGAATCATACCGCATATCTAATATCTAATATTTGATAGCCTAAAATGTTGACACTCAGGCTACTTTACTTTCTCTATGTTTATTCAGATCACCATCGTGCTATTCACAGTGTCCACCACTTTTTTCGTCCTGACGGTTCCGCAGTCTATCGTGGTTGTGTACGACCTTGCCTCACGTACTATGGACGACATCGACGAGTTTACGTTCTTCCGCAAGCAGGTCATTGCGTTCACCTTAGGCTTGATGTTCAAGCTCAACTTCGCTATTAACTTCATCCTGTATTCCCTCACGGGGAGGCGCTTTCGGGAGGTTGTCGTGGATGTGTTGTGCCGCTGTCGTGGTATGCGCCGACCGTCGTACGAATTGGAGGAACAGGCGACCAACCCGGTCCAGACGGCGGTGTTCGCGAATATGCCTGGGACCAGAGAGCTGAGCGCGTTCGATCGCCGCCGCTACATGACGTCGCGAACGCCGTTCCACTCCCAGGTCCTGCACATGACCGCTAGTGATGAGAGAAGAATCCACAGGTCAAGTGCAAGTTCAGCGAACGGGCCTGAAAATGATATAACTGAAGTGTAATGATCGGCATTCGTAGCTTGGACAGTCATATAGTTTAATCGGATAGCAGTTTAAATAATCAAGAAATAATAAATACCGTATGTGCTGTATTCAAAGTGCTTGCTTGTAAGTGAAAAGTAGAGGATAAGTGTGCCTAAGTCTACACAATATTATTTCTGATGTTTATTATATTCAGACAGATATAAGCCAGGGTTGTGATGAGTGTGATTAAAACAGATGTTTGTGTTGGCAATTGATTGTTTTTTTATATTGTCTGTCATTATTATTGCAATGTCGACCGACGTTATTGATAATTAACTGTACATTGTACACAAGGCATCTTTGAGAACATTTTGATGTTACCTCAAAGACAATAAAGAGAATTCTCACAAGGTGGCGCTTGAGACTCGTTGGCAGAAGCCAAGTTGATCACGATGAGCCAACTGTTGGCTCATCAGACTATCAATGTAGCCACCATGTTCTGTTCAATCTCTCCACTTGTTTCTGGTGACACAAAATCACTCATAATCCCCATGAAAGATGGAAGGCCTCCGTCTTCAAGTTTCTAGCCATGGATTCAGTCAATTTCTGCAAGGTAAGTGTTATTGCCACTTCTACAAACACAATGCAAACATTCCCTGACCATAACATCGTCGTGGTTCAAACATTAGCCTCCAATGTAAAACCATTAACATGCCATCCCTTTGCACTAAGACAACCTGTTGAAAAAGAGTAAGGGCCCTTCAGTACAATACTTAGTCTAGTTTGTTTTATAGCTTGGTAATTTACTCCTGTCCCCAACCCGTCGTAGTTAAGCGCTCATATTTTAACTGCGAATGTTTTGTGACCTTGTTGACCTTTACTGAGCGTGCATTGGAGGACAGGTCAGAGGTCACGCCCTAAATGACCTCTATGATGACAGTGGCCTGTTATTGCGTCATTACCTGTGAGCTACATGGGAGCAATCGGCAACTTTATGGGGTCTCAGCTGCTAAAAGGTCGATTTTTCTTTCCTCCGGGAGCTAACAAAAGCCTTTCCTATTCAATATGTGGCTGATCATTTTCTTTCTCGATACAATAGGGGACTATAAAGTAATTGTTTGCTAACAATACTTCCTGAATGGCCTCGTAAAGTGGGCGATCTTTAGAACCTGGTACTAAAAGTAATGTTTCCTTATATTGGTCTCATATATCAACAATTGTGATAAAAGGTTGGCCTTTTGGCCTCGTATTTGACCTAATTTCACAGACGAGGACATTTGAAGCTTTTGCCTTCAGGCAACCGCCATTGGGTGGGGTTAAGGCATTGTAACTTTGTAATTTATTCCTGTCCCCAACCCGTTGTATTTAAACGCTCATATTTTTCCTATTCAATATGTGCATGGCTGATCATTTTCATTCGCGATGTGATAGGGGACTATAAAGTGATTGTTTGGTAACAATACTCCCTGAATGGTGTCGTAAAGTGGGCGATCTTTTGAACCTGGTAATTGTTTCCTTGGATCGGTCTCATATATCAACAATTGTGACAAAAGTTTGGCCTTTTGGCCTCGAATTTGACCTACTTTCACAGACGAGGACATTTGAAGCTTTTGCCTTAAGGTAACCGCCATTGGGTGGGGTTAAGGCATTGCAACTTTGTAATTTATTCCTGTCCCCAACCTGTTGTAGATAAACGCTCATATTTCCTATTCAATATGTGGCTGATCATTGTCTTTCTCAATACAATAGGGGACTATAAAGTAATTGTTTGCTAACAATACTTCCTGAATGGTGTCGTAAAGTGGGCGATCTTTGAACCTGGTGATGTTTCCTTGGACCAGTCTTGCTAGAAGCGTCATATATCAACGATCACGACAAAAGGTTGGCCTTTTGGCCTCGAATTTGACCTACTTTCACAGACGAGGACATTTGAAGCTTTTGCCTTCAGGTAACCACCATTGGGTGGGGTTAAGGCATTGTAAATTTGTAATCTATTCCTGTCCCCAACCCGTTGTAGTTAAACGCTCATTTTTCCTATTCAATATGTGGCTGATCATTGTCTTTCTCAATACAATAGGGGACTATAAAGTAATTGTTTGCCAACAATACTTCCTGAATGGCGTCGTAAAATAGGCGATCTTTTGAACCTGGTAATGTTTCCTTGGATCGGTCTCATATATCAACAATTGTGACAAAAGGTTGGCCTTTTGGCCTCCAATTAACCTACTTTCACAGACGAGGACATTCGTGCATGATGCCCACAGGTAACCGCCATGGGCATTGCACGAATTGTATTCTTACTGCCATTAGAGCTAACTAAACGTTGTGCCAAACACCACAATAACAATCTAGAACAAACGAAGTGTCTCATAAAAGTCCCATTGTTTATTCAAGTATTAATTCAAATCACAGGACATCACATTATCTGCAAATCTAAATTGTGACACACTCGGTGATAGACATAACGATATGTACTAGACGTATATCATATACTGTATGACTTAACTATGAAAAACCAATGCAGCAAATTTCTAATGCCACATACATATACCAACCATAATTGTTTGTAGCAATGTCATCAACACTATGATGTGATCATTGACACAATCATACTATCAAACCACAAATATCTTACAATCCTTCTCACTATACATAAAATTTGTAAACATATTCTAACGAATAAATATATCATATAGAAATATTGGATATAGATATATATAGATATAGATATATTCACATAAGGTGGCCATACCAGCTGACCAACACAGATACAACTCTACATTGGGAATTCACTTGACCAGAAGAGACATGTTCTAAGACTTCTTTGTGATCAAATTCTCTCTTATTTACAACTTTATTCTATGCGACAATACAATAGAATACAACACATCTTGATAAAACAACTAACTTATAATTTTCCTTTGAAAGTATGATACATGAATTACATATAGTATACATACAAACCAATAACTCATAATACCAATCTGTGCTCAGATATAGCACTGTTACAACACAATAGATCGTATCAATATACGTTTACATCGCCTGTTCAACAATATACACATAAATTGACACTTGCAAGCAAACACAGGGTATTTTTCTCTGATTACTCTACATTACTCCTGAATCTGGTGTCTATATGTATTGGACATGGATCTCATCTGAATCTAATGCTGAATATCATTATGGATGGTTCCATGTCCATCTGCCAAAGTTATATCATCAGTATCAGTGGTGTCTGTGAGATTTGTTTGTTTTGCATTCTGAGTTTTTATGTTTGAAAGTCATCCTACGATCACGATCGTTTCAAAAACAAGGTGTTGCTTTGCGTTGTGACACTTTCACATATTGTATGACAAAGTAGATTCTATCCCATGTGTCTTATTCTATAGAGGCAGGTATAAAAATCCATAAAGTACCTCAGAGTCCAATGAATTTTTGCCGGGGGCCATAAGGCCTCCAGCTTTGTGCTGATGGGCGTCGTGTTAGGTAGTTGTGAGTCTGATTCATCATGATGAATTATAACCAAGTAGATATCAGGAGAGAAAGATCGGCCAAATTTGTTTACCGCACGAAACTTACCGTTAATACACTATTACAAAATATATCTTCTCCGTTAGAAAGGGCTCGTGATACACTACAATTGTGCACAGTATTGTTAGCATTTTCCAATTCAAGTCACCAAGGTGACCAATTATTTAAGTCACACATCGTCATCACACTCATTTATCTTATCTTGGCCCCGGCTAGCTTTTGCAAAAAGCATTTCTTGTTTATACAGAGCATTCTTGTAGTCCCTGTAGACTTTCTAGTTCCTACACTCGCGACGTCTGGAACTTGGCGCCACCATTTCTAGTCGACGAGCCGTCAGAATCCGCCGAAGGTAGCGGTGGACCCGGTGTGAGCGGCGTTGTCACACTCAATGTAGAGTGCTTGGAGACCGAGTAGTTCATGTGGGGATGCAAGGAGTGTAGCGAGATGGTGCTGTGGTCGATACACGATAACCCCATAGGCGTGGAAGCAGACCCCTGCTGCACCGTGTGGCAGTAGTTGGAGAACCGTGTACTCTGTGTGAAGCGGCTGCTCTTGTAGAGCAACTCTCTCTTCCCGCCACGATACTCCACTGGCAAGCACCTGCAGTTTAATAGAAGTTGTTTATTGCAAATTCCTGCCCGAGGGCTAATTGCATACAGACATTGACAAGAAAATGTGGTGATACATGTATAAGGCTATTTGCTAACAGGAACTTCTACGTGTACGATATACTTGTCGAACCTACTATCTCTACTTAAATCTAATAACGATTGGTATACATACAGGATAAAAAAGTAAATATGCAATATGTGAACAGGTAATAGGAACAATGTAACTGCTATTCTAATCTATTCTATTCTATTAAACTATTCTTGTCATGCTATTAGGGGGTTTGACTTCTTCTCAGGAGGCAGTGGGAGATGTATTGTCTTTAATAATGGTTTATTCGATTAGTCACATATTTACAATACATTATTTACACATCCAGTCCCACCTGGCAGCCAAAGGCTGAATTGCATGGGAGCTGTTTCCATGAGTTTTGGCAGTTTTCCGCCAATGAGATATAGGAGGTTAACACGTAATCTTAATTTTGAAATAAATTTGTTAGCATTAGCATTTTTTAATGTCTTGGGGTGGTGGGACTACGGCGCACAGATATGTCAACTTTGTGAATTTAAATGTTAGTTGTATTTTTTTTTTGTTATGTGGCGCTGTTAATATAAGTTATAAGCTTGAGTGCAGCGTGGCGTCGGTGACGCAACGGTTAGAGCGTTGGACTCGGAACCGAGAGGTCACGGGTTCGATACTCACCGTGGCCCGACGTTGTGCCCTTGGGAAAGGCACTTTACACGACTTGTACGGTGGAGTGACGCCCACCGAGCCTCTTAGGCTAATTGTCTAACTGGGTGCCAAAAACACCCTACGGATTTGGTGCGCCAATGTGTCAACATCAGCACATTTAAGACCAAGAGCCGTTATTATTTTTTTTAATGCAGCGCCACACTATCCTTGTTATGTTTTTTGATGTCTTGATGAATAGAAGTAAAAGTACCTGCAGAAGATGCGGAGGAAGGCCTCCCTGAAGCGTCTCCCCGTCACGCAGTAGAGGATGAAGTTCACGGAGAAGTTCAGCTTGAACATCAAACCCAGCGTGTGGTTGGTCACCTGAATGGATGAATGAATGGATGAATGAATGAATGAATGAACTGTTTATTCGATCATTTGATCAGGTATTAATTGTGGGGTCGTGTGGCGTAGCAGTAGCGTGTTCGGCCCAGGCCCAAGAGGTCCCAGGTTCGAATCTTGCCCGGTGTCACCGATCTTGTGCCCTTGGGAAAGGCACTTTACACGACTTTCCTCACTTCACTCAGGTGTTAGGGACGTCCCTCGGATAGGACGTTAAATGGAGGTCTCGTGTTTGGGAGAGCCACACCCCACGCACGTTAAAGAACCCACCGCACTTATCGAAAAGAGTAGGGGACCTTCCCGGTGTGAGTGGCTCAAACCTTTCAGTCTGGTCTCTTGACATCTTGAAGAGTTGATAGTCATCTGTTATGTCAACCCTTCCACAAATGTGGTAAATCTTTATAAAAGAAAATAAAATATTGGACCTGTTTGCGGAACAGGGTGTCCTCATCAATGTCCTGTAGGCTGCCGTGAAGCCCGCCGTGCGAGGCTAGGTCGTACACGACGGAGACAGACTGCGGGACGGTCAGCAGGAAGAAGGTGGTGGAGACGGTGAAGAGGACCACGGTGATCTGGTTCTGACGCTTCTCCGTCTCTTTGGCGCACTTGGACAGGTTCTGACGGTTCTTCTGGGTCTGTGAGAATGTAGAGATGAACAAGAATGATCAAATCAAGGACATTATACTGTATAATTTCCTTGGTAAAATTTAGGAATAAACCGCAAGGTAAAAGGGTGCACATCAGATTTCTGCGACCACCTTTCTTCCCTCTGATCTGACCTTGTGTGTTCTGTAGAGAGGTAATAGTACTAATACCCACGTGCTGTCATTCAAATACTTACAGATACAAGCTCTCATCCGCAAAATAATGTCAATCAGATATGCTCATAGTCCATACATATATAGTTTATTGTCTCTGCCACTGGGGCTAATCGTAGTTCTTTATCAATCTCTAGGTAGTTGGATATCTCTGGCTAAATTTGTAGATATCTATTTTCATTTCTAAGCATGTTTTACAGCCAAGCCAATCCAAATACATGTAGAATAGAATAGAACAGAATGATAATGAAATGAAACACAGACCTGTAGAACACGGATGACAATGACGGTGTTGATCACCCCCACGGCAGCAGTTGGTATGAGCCGGCCGGCAGTCATGTCGTAGATGGTGATGTTGAGCCATGTCTGAGGGTCCCGCGGCACACACATGTTGTCTCTCTCAACCTGCGCCCAGAACTCCAGGCAACTCACACTGCACACAACCATCACCATGCCCAACAGCACCTGAAAATGACCATTTTATACTGTTTACTTCTTTGGATCAAAGGTATCTGGTAGACGATGTCGCCCCCCGTCGCGGTTGAGCCATGTCTGCGGGTCCCGCGGCACACACATATTGTCTCTCTCCACTTGTGCCCAGAACTCCAGGCAACTCACACTGCACACTGCACACAACCATCACCGTACCCAAGAGCACCTGGAATTCAACGCCCACCATGTTGATGATTTAACGGCGAGTGGAAAGATAGAATGGGAGGAGTGGAGCTCATATCTTTTGCTTTTGAATGAACATTGCTAAACTCACCATATCAGTCAAGCTATCATACACCTCTACAATAGGGTAATCAGGAAAGGCAGCCGTGACCCTTAGTCTAAGCCATCTTTGACCTTATTGGCAGCAAAAAGTAGTCCTGGTTACCCAACTTATTCAAAGTATGACTGCTGGACTGACAATGCATCATGAAGGAGGAAAGGGGGGAGGGACAGACGAGTTGCACTCTCCTTGGGCTAGAAAAGACAATTTCCAAGTAGGTCTTTTGGTGACTGCACAGACAGTATCATGTTCTCTAGACAGTTTCCATTTGCCAGGCGGTACCATTGCCACCCAATAACGTAAAATTATTACAATTCGCTATAGTGCAACAAGGAAGCCCGAAAAAGGCCTAAAACACGTATAAAATAACCCTAAGGCCTAAACATCTGTTTGGAGAGCAGAATTGTACATAGAATTGTACCTTCCTGGTCTTGTCCATGGTGCATAGCGTGCTCCTGCGCATGGGGTGGCAGACGGCGATGTAGCGCTCCACCGTGAAGGCTGTGGTGATCCAGGCAGACAGGTACCCGGAGGAACGCACCAGGAACTTGATCAGCTTGCAGTACACGTCACTGGCGTGGATGACGTCCTCGTCGTGAAGAATCTGTGGTTACATATGCGAAAATCGTGGTTTTTAACTCGAGGTTAGCCTCTACCAGGAGGCTTCGGGAGTGCAGCAAAATGTTTTCTCCCAGCAGCCAAAAACTCTCCCGGCATGTTATCTCCCTATTTGGCTGATTTCTACTCTTTCCAGCCGCCTCCCAAAGCCTGGTAGAGGCTAACTCGAGGTAATATCACAAGGTCGATAATCCAAACAGTTTTCTTGTCCCGAGTTGCATGCACTAGAAGTATTTGTAGCCACCAAGACAGGATATAATTCCTGTTTCATTGTCAATTGTTCAGAAAAGCGGAAACACCCTGGTACATTGAACTTATACTATACATAGCGTTTATTTTTCTTGTCATGACAAATGAAAAAAAAAGCTTCCGACCGCAGAGCTTAGGTTGAATCCTAGTATCACCAACCGTTTGTTAGAAATAGAAGAACATGGCTCCCTCTGTATCCATGTAATGAATGAATTCCTACGTTAAACAGTTAATACATAAAATGCTCTATACGTACCTGCAGGCCTACTGAAGTGAGTAGGAAGATAGTGTCCACCACAGCCAGTGCAGCCAGGTACACGCTTGACGGCGCCTTTCTCAGTCGCGGGCCCATCATGACCACGAACGACAACACGTTACCTGGAACCCCTGAAATACAACAGTTCAGGTCAGTATAGATCCGTTTATCGTTATCATTATCATGTATAAATCTGAAATACATCAGTTCAGTTTAGCCTCCGTACGTAGCAGGCTTATAGAACTGGGGGTTTGGTGGTCTTTTCGGCTGTTTTCTGATCAGCCTAGTTCTAAAAAACGGGGGTAATTCAACCAGGCCGGCTATATGTTGTCTATATGCAATCAGAAAATAGCACATAAAAGCTGCCAAAGACCCCCAAAACCCCCAGTTTTTGGCGTGCTATGGAGGCTAAGTTCAAGTCAGTCCAGATCTGTTTTATCATTATCATGTATACATATATATTCCTTACATCTTTTGACAAACCAACTTTAACTTATCTTACATACTTTTACAGTTATACGATTACTAAGAAGAGGGAGGGAGTCAATGTAAAATTGACAGTAGTGTATGTTAGTTGTTTGTATGCATTGTGTATGTTTGTAAATTGTTACTAGTGGAGCAAAAATGTACAATAAAGGTCTTATTTTTCTCAGTATTTATACAATAAAAGAATTTTTTCAGACAAGTTGCCTATCTCGAATTAGTTACGGATTTTATTTAATGCATTGGGAAGATAGCCGTCGAATGGGGTGCGGTACGCTATTGCGGCAGAATAGGGTAATTAGGCACAGATGAGCGAACTTTGACCTCCCAATTTTCCTTTAATGCATTGGAGAAATAGCAGTCCAATGGTGTACGGCTCAATGTTGCGACAGAATAGGGTAATCAGGTACGGATGATGTGCGAACCTTGACCCCATCGGGTCAGAAGAGTATTATGGTCCTACGTCAGACGACAGGTTGTTGACGTTTGAATCCGGTATTTACAGAAGGTATGTCTATTTTCTTGAGTCATATAAAGCATGAAAAGTTATTGTTTCTCTTCTGGTAACTCACAGAAACAGTGCGGCGACAGTGAGCATCAGTATGAGAGTTCGTGGTGTTTTTTATGCTTGAAATAGAACTTTAAAAGTTACGTAACAGTAACCGTTAACTCTGCTAGTGTACAAAAACTTGATAGGTACTTTAGTCCTTACACATGTTACCATGAGTTACATCTGTTACTTCTCTTGTTCCACAAAGGCCTAGCCGTCCTCCCAACATCCAACTACCCCTGCTGGTGAGGGAATAAGCTCGATTTTGTTACCGGGTGGGATGGTAACAAGCCAGGTGGCTTGCCGGTGAGTACTTGAGTTTGTTTACTTCTAGAATTTTCTCAACTGGCGCTCAGAAAATGAGCTTTCTTTCTTGAATGTATTGTCAATGTATTCCCGATTTTCTGTGGTTATATTGTTTAACTTTATAGAAGTAAATTTAAGGTATTTAGTACTGATTTGCATGTGTGTAGGTCGTGTTTTCCTGGCCCGACCAGGGGGACAAGCTGGATGTTGGCGCAGGGTTGGATCGTACACAAGCCTGGCGGTCTTTGCGAGTGAGTGAGTGTCTTTACTTCTAGAGTTGTGCTGACTGGTGTTGAGAAAATGAGTTTCTAACTTGAGTGCACTGTCAATGTTTTCCCAATTGCTTTGTGGTCATTGTTTGAAAATAGATTCAAGTTATTTACTACTCATTTACATGTGTGTATAGGTCGTGTTTTCCTGACCCGACCAGGTGACCAGGTGTGCGTTTGCTGACTTCAACTTGTCCAGAACTTCTGTGCTCTAATCTTTAGGGTAAGTTGTCTATACCAACGACGTTCTGCAAACTATGGGACATGTTTTCCCTTCAACTGGATGTAACCTTACGTCATATTGCAAATATACTGTACAAAAAATATAGTTTATACCTTTAAGTTTATACAATGATTGTATTGTCTATGTCATGTGAAACATCCATGTAATACCAAGGATCATAATGTTCCCAATGGGAGACCTCAAGCTTTGTTGAAAAAAATCTCAAGATGCTTTTTTTCTGAAAATCTCAAGCTTTTTTTTTTCTGAAAACATCTTGACTTGTTTTAAAAAAACTTAGATGCTTTGAATAAATCTCAAGATGTTTTCTGAAAATCTCAAGATTTTTCAAAGCAATAGATATAAGTATAGAAACTATATATATATTTCTGGTGATCAGAAATGCTTTATGTGTTGCAAAATATTAGTGTCCTGGTAAAAAGGTATTGTCCTGATGAACACTGTACTCTTGAGTTTCCTGAATTTTTGTTGTACTTTTTGTAGCTGTAGTTACTATGCTGTTCAAGGCTGTGGTTGGTTTATTGATAACGACGTAAAACAGTTTTGCAGAACCCAGGGGTTCTGAATTGCACTGTTACTTACAATTACAACCCATTAAAAGGTTTAAAATCGAACAACATCTATTACAAACATATACACATATGATAAAATCTATTAGAGTTATAAATGTTAATAAGTTTACATTGCTGGGTAAAATACATATTAAGATTACGAATTCGAGGTAAAACAGTGGTCATAAAGAAGGCTACTAAACAAAACGTGTTATTAAGGCATGACAGTTAATTACCCCTCAATGACTGGAAGGTCGTAACCGAGTACGCTCGATTACTTATTTAGTAGGCTAACAATATATGGGATGGAACTGTTGCGGTAGCGCTGAGTCTTTGCAACAATACAGTTCAGTTTGTGACTAGTTCGGGTTTTCCGCCCGCTGACTTCGCCCCGAGATGGAGGGAGCCAATGTCTGAAGGAAGCAGAGTTCAGTAGACTGAGTCCGAACTTCGTACACAGCAGTTCTCTCCTTGTTTCAAGGGTAGACAGGCCGAGGACTGTAAGTGCTTCAGAGTAACAGGTGTACTTCTTGCCCAGAATGGTGCGGCATGCGCGGCGTTGAACTGTCTCTAGACGGGTTGACTGGAGTTTGGTGAGACCAGGGTTCCATACCAGTACAGCGTACTCGCACAAGGGGCGCACGTAACATGTATAAACGGTGACAAGATCTGTCTCAGGGATCTTGAACTTCTTTAACCGTCGTAGGATGAATAACCGTTTACTGCTCTGTTTCACCATGTGGGTAACATGGCTGTCCCACTTTAGGTCCCTTTGTACCCAGACTCCCAGTAACTTGGCTGCAGTAACTTCTTGAAGGACGTGGCCCGCTAACTGAAGTGGGGGGAGTGGGGGAGGTGTTCTTCTGAAAACGATATGCATCACCTTGCATTTGTTTGGGTGTAGTTTCATGTGGTTTGTACTAGACCATAGATCGAGGGCATTTAGATCTTGTTGTAGGTTTGACTGTGCTTTGACTGATCTGCTTTCAACCATGTTCAGATCATCCACAAATTTCCAAGTTGTAAGCTCTATACAAGTGTTGCAATGTGTTTTTAGTAGACCATCCCCTGTGACAGGAAGTTATCATGGACACACCACATCTGTAACTGATTAACTATGAATAAAGCAGTCAGAACACAGTGCCTGACTAGACAGCTCTAGCAGGCAGCCACAGAGTGCAGACCTCCTATACCCTATTCCCTATACCTATTCCCTTCAATACCCTACACATGTTATATGTATGATTTTGTAATAATGTATGTACTAAGTGTATGCTGTGGTTTTCTGGCTGGGATCCAAGAAGAGAAGATTTTGTTCATTCGAATCTAATAAATGTATCATCAATAGAAACTTTATTGCAAATACATGCCCGAGCATAATTGCAGATGCAATGATATGAGAGACTATGTGCAAAGCTATACTACATTCTACATTCTACATTTCCTCACTCCACCCAGGTGTGAATGGGTACCTAACTTCGGTTGGGGAAAGCCGTATTGAGGTCACATGGTGGCGCCGAATTATGGCAGCCGCACAGACCCTTTGCGACAGTTCCACAAAAATCTGTGGAGCAAATATGTGTGTCGTGTATTATTTGATTGTTGTGATTTGTATTGATTATTATGTGATACCTGCATCAATTCAGCCGTATAAAGGCTGCGACTGCACGGATACTGTTTGGACAATAAAAACAATTTATTTATTTATAACGTAATAAAACATCAAAGCACAGAAATTAACCGGGACGGGGGGCGATATCGACTTCAGACAACCTATGACCCTTTGCTGACGTCACACGTGAGAAAAATCACGTGTCCACAGCATTTGGGTCAGATAGCTGAGAAAGACTGAGTGATTCAGTCGAAAATTCCGGTGAGTCAAATTTATGAGTTGGAGAACAGTTTAACTTTTTTCATAATGTAATTTACCAACTCAGATGAACTTTCATGCTGATGACAGAAATTAATGTCAAACTCTCACCTATAACGAGTATGAGGTAAGTCATGACGTTGTAGAAGATGTTGAACTTGGCCGCTTTGGCGAGAAACTCCGGACTGGGTCCCCGCATGTCAGGTGGCATGTCCTCCGTGTCGTTATACATAGCCGTCGCGTTGTCCAGGAAGTCCCATTCGATAGTGGCCTCTGTCGCCATCTTTCAGTGAAGAGTTCACGCTGACGGATTTAATGGAAGACTTGAATGAATGAATGAAAGAATGAATAAGTAAACTTTACTGCTCGACAGTTGTACATGGTAACAATGGCAATGTGAACAATACAATCAAGTCTATTCTAAGAGACTACTAGTATTACTACAGGAATGTGTACTTAAATGGCGTATAACATGATGTGCATATAAATGAATGGTTTATTTGATTATTTTGATCGAGTCAAAAGCAAATCACAACCATAGGCTGAATTGCGTACTCTCCAAGCAGAGGTTGTGGGGGAATGATCGTTAGCTTTTTATATATGGCCGTTTCTTTGTCGCTAATCCCACCGTCGGTGGCCGGCGACCTTCTCTGGCCAATCAGATACTGTCTTTTTGCCACCGAAAGAGATCTGCTTGGAGATTAGAATTGCGTACTTTTTACAGATTTAAAAACTGTTGGCATTAGGCTCTTTATCGATTAGCACTAATCTATACCACCTTTCCTATTTAACAATATAAAGTACAAGAAACGCTACCTTAAAACACTTG